CTGGTGTCAGAGCTGTCGTCGGTGCTGGCCTCGCTGCTGACGTCGAGGTGGATGTCGGGTCTGGTGTCGATGCTGACTGCGACACTGGCGTCTGTAGGTCACCATGCTTCGGCGGGCCTGAAGGCGCCGCCGAGCGAGTGGCCATACAGGGAGCACAGGAGTGGCTGTTACTGGTGCTGGCGTCACTTGCGGCCAAATGCCGATGACAGGATCCTGTGTGGGCGCTTGCGGGTGAGGCCGCCGATGGGGCGTATCGCAGTGGGGTGTGGATGTAAGCATGGCCGCTGTAGGCGTGCAGACGTGGCTCCCTCTGTTTACGCGGTTCCGCCAACAATGATGTTGTGGGCATGGTCGCTGTGGACATCGGAGCCGCCGCTGGCAGTGCTGGCGTCGCTGCCGTCGATGCTGACGTCGGAGCCGGCGAAGCTATCGATGCTGCCGTCGGAGTCGGTGAAACTGTAGGCGGAGCCGTCGTCGCTGCCGTCGATGCTGCTGTCGGAGCCGGCGATGCTAACGATGCTGACGTCGGAGCCGGCGATGCTAGCGATGCTGCCGTCGGCGCTGGCGATGCGAACGATGCTAACGGAGCTGCCGTCGGAGCCGTCATCGCTGCCGTTGATGCAGCCGTCGGAGTCGGCGAAGCTGTGGTCGTTGCTGCCGTCGATGCGAGCGTCGATGCTGACATCGGAGCCGGCGTCGGTGCAGCGTCGTCATGGTCGTCGTGGTCGTCGTCGTCGTCTCCTCCTCCTCCATCGGGGCGGGGCGAGGGAGGGGGCGGGGATGGTGTCGAATCTGTGCCCCCCGCTGGCGTCGAGGCTGCCTGCAGTGCCGTCGTTAGAGCTGGCTTCGGTGCTGTCTGCGGTGCTGGGGTGTGGTCCGTCATGGACGTGGGCGTGGGTGCTGCCGAGGACGATGCTGGCGTCGATATTGACGTCGATGCGGGCATTGGCACGGACGCTGGTGTCGACAAGGCGGACGGGTCATAGCATGGCAGGGCGGCCCCACTGGCGTCAGGTGCGCCTGAAGACTGCACCCTCGCCAGCGGCCCTGGGCGAAGCGTCAGGACAGAAGATGTTGAAAGGCTCATCAACGCAGGTGCCGAGGACATGACATATCGTGGCATGGCGGCCCCAGCAGCCGAAGGTGCGCCTGAAGACTGCACCCTCGCTGGCGGGCACGGGCGAGGGGGCAGGGCAGGTGATGACGGTGGGCTCGTCGGGGCAGGCGTCAATGCGGTCGGCAGTGCTGGTGTCGATGCTGAGGTCGATGCGACGACAAGCATGACGGCGGCGAAAATGGTGGCCCGTTTGGGGCGGGCCCGACGCGCCGTGCCCTTGGAGCCGCAGGCGGTGCCGATGGCGCCGAAGATCATGCTGCCGACCTTGACGGCCCTTTTAGGGTGGGCTGGACCCGCCGTGCTGGTGGAGTCGACGATGTTGTTGACGACGCTCCTGGTGCCCGCGCCGATGGTGCGCAGGACCGCGTCGACGATGCCGAGAACGATGCCGAAAGTGGGGCCGAGGACGCACCCGAAGTTCAGCGGGGTAATGCCGGTGAAGGTGAGGGCGGTGCTGGCGAGGCCGCGGAAGCGCTCCCGGGGGGGGGTCGGGGTCCGGCTGCTTGTCGCGCACGGCGCGACGACGGCAGGCGTGGGAACAGCCCGACCGCTCTCAGCACCGTCTCCCTCAGCAGTCGGGAGCCCGACCCCCCCCCGATTACCTGGCCGTAGCGGGGTGGGCAAGTGCTGGACGAAGTCGTCGGTGTCGGCGTTAGTGCCGTGTGGGTGAGCGTGGTGGTCAGCTCGGTGCGCGCGCAGCTCAGCGCGCAGGTGGTACACGTCGTGCTCTAGAATGCGGAGATCTTCGCGAAGATTCGCTCGAAGCACGCGTGGGGCGTGGCCAGGTGGTTCAGGAAGGTCGCGCCCGTGCAGGACGGGCACGTAGATGACAAGGTTCTGGTGCCTATGCTCGATGAATTGGCAGTGGTATTCTCGAAGCGGGCCAGGCAGTAGCTGAGGGTGAAACGAACTGCATGTGCGGGCATTGCGGCGCTGGGCTGGTGGCTCCATGGCGGCAGTACCTGCGAAGACTTGGGATGGGGTAGGAGGCATCAGCATGACAGTCTCGCCGCGCGAAGGCTGCCTCCTGGGGCTCGCTCTGAGTGGATACTCTCGAGCCGAGACTAGAGAGAGAGAAGGAGAGAGAGAGAGAGAAAAAAAAAAAAAAAAAAAAAAAAAAAAAAAAAAAAAAAAAAAAAAAAAAAAAAAAAAAAAAAAAAAAAAAAAAAAAAAAAAACGGACGAAGAACCCAACCATATGCAGTTGTCAATGCCGCAGCTGCGGGTTTCATCTTCAGTGGAACTCCCCATAGGACCACGGAACGTGTGAGGGGTGTGCCGAGATGGGTGCCACTGGGGCATTCGGTGAAACCCCCTTATGGGGACATGAAACACGCGCGGGGCGTGCCGACATGGGTGGCGGAAACGCATATGAGGGCCGCCA